TACATTCACAATATATTACTCCGAAGCAAGATAACTTGGATCGTGACATTAGATATGGGTTGAATCCTCAAGATAACCTTCAAAGCAATGCAAACAAGCAAGACACTCGTCGGGACACCGGATTGGGGTTCGGATCTCAAGACAACCTTTTACATTCACAATATATTACTCCGAAGCAAGATAACTTGGATCGTGACATTAGATATGGGTTGAATCCTCAAGATAACTTTCAAAGCAATAAAAATAAGCGAGATTCTTTGGCTGATGATACTCATCGAGGGTTAGGATCTCAAGATAACATTCCATATGCACAGCGTAAGGAACAAAACTTATCTGATGATACTCATCATGGCATTAGGTATGGATTAGGAGGATCTCAAGGGCTTCAACGCAACAACAGTAGGCAAGATAACTTATCTGACGTCACACGTCATGATATCAGACATGGGTTAGAACCTCAAGGAAACATTCCATATACACAGCGTAAGGAACAAAACTTATCTGGTGATACTCATCATGGCATTAGGTATGGATTAGGAGGATCTCAAGGGCTTCAACGCAACAACAGTAGGCAAGATATCTTATCTGATGTCACACGTCGAGATATCGGACCTCGAGAAAACATTCCATATATGCAGCGTAAAGAACAAAACTTATCTGATGATACTCATCATGACATTAGGTATGGATTAAGAGGATCTCAAGGCCTTCAACGCAATAATAGTAGGCAAGATAACCCATCTGATGATACTTGTCAAGAATTTGGACATGGGTTAGGATCTCAAAATAATCCACATCGTATTAGTAAGGAGCAAGATGATGACGCTTTTGTAGACTTTGGACATGTGTTAGTATCGCAGCGAAACAATTTACTACGCGAAGATAACTTATCTGATGAAGACTCTGTACTTGAGTTAAATAATAACAAAGATAACACATCTGAAAAAGAATTTGGATATGAGTTAGAGAATAATGATGATCCATATTCTCATCACAATAATAATGAAGATAATTTATATGATGAAGAAGTACATGATTTAGAATATTATGAGAATAATCCATATTCTCAGCATGATGATATAGAAGATAACTCATCTGAAAAAGAGTTTGGACATGATTTAGAATCTCAAAACAACATTGATAACAGCTTAATTGAAGAAAAAATTGAACATGAGTTAGAAACACAGCACAATATGAAAGATAAGTTACATTATGAAACCTATCAGGACAAGTTAAAATCTCAAGACAACTTGAAATCTTCACAACACGTGAATAGTAATCAAGATAATTCATTGGATGGTACTCGTCGCGATTTTGAATATGAATCTCAATCTCAAGATAAAAAAGATAAAAAGCAAAAGAATAATATTAGCAACAAATCTCATAAAAAGGATTCCAATCCTAGTAGACTCGATAACAATACCAAATTGTCTTCAGAGCATAGTAATAAATCACAAAGTAGTAGTAGTAAGGGAAAAGGCATGGGATCATCACAATCTAATAGCGGTAGTATAGTAGGTAATGTGATGCGTAACCTCGTAGGCGGCTTTTTTAACAAAGATGAGCGTGAAATCAATGTTATGTTTCATATTCATTTACCAGAAAAGATTAAAAATTTTGGACAACCCATAGTTCTTGGTAATGTAAAAGAATTAGGTTCCTGGAAAAATCCCATTATTAAACTTTTTCAACGACCTCATAATCCAACATATTGGCTATCCGGTCCGGTTACTATTTCGATATCAAATTTCGCTCAAGATATTCAATACAAATATGCTATTTTTGCAACTAACTATTTTGGTAGAGGAGGAACAATTATATTCGAAGGAAATGGTGATCGGGATAATCGTACGTTAGCAACTAGTAGAAATGATCAATTCGGCATTTGGAAAAATACTCGTCAATTACAATGTAACTTATACCTCGAAGCTATACGCGACTATGCTTTTGTAGATTATATTTATGAATCTATCGAAGTTGAAAACCTTAAAGAGAAAGTTATGGAATATCAACATTTATTAACTGTCCACCGCGATCTTACGATTCGTGCGTCAGATATTAATTTTATTTTCAATCACATCGATAATGAATCAAGAACAAAACGACTCTTCTTATGTCTTCTCTTAGGGTATCATATTCAAAGGCAAAATGCATTTTATGAATTAGCAAAAGAATTTCCATCCGAATTGCTACTTGACGCCTTCGAGGGTTATACGAAGGATACTTTACCTTCAGCCACCGGCGATCAAATTTCTAATGCTATTACAAGTTTAGTCCAAAATAATGCTTTTAAGATGAAATTTGATTGGCTCAAAATATTTACAATTGCTGCAGAAGTTGACCCTAATTATACTTTCATTGATCGTTTAAAAGCTTTAAAGTATCCTAAATACGATTTCTCAAATTTTATTAAAGAAATAAAAAGAATTAGGCCTTATATTGACAACATAAAGTTTGATACTTACACTAAACTTGCTAAGGTAATTTGAATATAATTATTTTCTCGAGAAAGTGTGGTAATTAACTTTTTTTTTTAATTTTTATTAGTGGTTAATTCAATTATGTCACGATATGGACGGACTCCTTAAACTTTGGAATGAAGTACTTTCGTGTAATGACGCGACTTATAAAAGTATTCTCAAGTTTTTTATTGAACAAGTCCAAGAGAATATTTCCGGTTGTGATGCTGTTGCTTTAGAAAATTATTTCAAAAGTATCCCTAAAAATTGCCGAAATGATGTTTCTAGCATTTTCCGTGATCGAGTCTTTTTTTTACTTAGAAGTCCAAATAGCAAGTGGACAGATCAAAATATCTCGGCTATACTAAAATTACTTCGAAACGGTAATCTGAAATGGCGTAGTGATGACGCCATAATTTCATTGGAACTTATATCACAATCTAATAATTTTGAATTATTGAATATCTTTCCAGAAATTTTGGATGACTGGTATCGAAGGGACTTTACTGATTCTAGAAAAAAAATACCAAATATTTGTATAAATTGGTTTACACTTTTTTTGGCCAAACTGGGTACAAATAAGAAAAATGCTTCAAATGAGAGTAGTGATAGTAACTTTATTTTTTTAGTATTTCAACAATTAGAACGTATGTATCCTTTACTTGGTCAAAGGATGAATCTTTGGCGAGAGATAACCTCCATTGCTATAAAAAGAGTGAAGGGATGTTCAGAAACTCAAATATTTTCCACAACAAAATTAATAATGAAGATACAGCGTATGGAATTCAAAAGATTATTTTTAGAAATGATAAAAGAAATAATAAACAAGTCCGTTCAACAAATTGATGATCAGTTAATAGATAAATTATTTATAATTTGCGATTGCAATAAAAGAGCCAAAACTTTAAATATTTCAAATCCGTAAGTTTCTCATTATGATTGTCTTCATTAATTTCGTAAACACAAAGATAATTATTTTTTTTATTTTTATTTTATAAATAATTTTTAGGATGAGCGAAGAGATTTTGTGTTTTATAATTACTAAATTGCAAAGTCAATCTTTTACATCGGAAAATCATTTAAACGTTTTAAAAGCTAGTAAATTTTGGAAAGTTATATTATGTGCTACTGGAAGCGTTGAAAAACTTCATTCAAACTCATTCGTCCAGCGTATTAAAGCTTCTATAAACGAACTTGGCGGATTACTCCTTAAGAAAACAATTGATATAAGATTATTACAACAACTCTTACAATATTCAGATGATGAATTATTTCATCATTTTGATGCAGCTGTTGCCAAAAAGAAATCTTTAAGTGATGTAATCGTCTCTCGGGATGAAATTGCGAAACTTAGAGGGCTATGTAAGAAGTTTCAACTTCAATTCGATATGCTCTTCAAGTTTTATGGAAGATTTTGTTCGAATGCTCTGGATTTAGATGATTATATACAACAATTGCCATTTACAGATGGAGTAAATTTGAAGCAAGCAATTGAACCAGATTATTTGGCATTCCATGAAAAAACGTTAAACAGCGCGAGACGTTGTTACAAATATCATCAATCCCAAACTTTTCTAAATATTTTTGAAGTTTGTTATCAGGAAGATGCTGCAACCAAAGTGGAATATATAGCGCAAAAATTGATACCGGTCGTTTTTGAAAAATACAATGCATTGGTTGAACAATTTACGGATTGGGAAAAACTCAAAAGTTCAGATACTTCTTTATATTGGAAAAATGTTACAGATGTTAAAAAAGAACTTGAATTAATGGGTTATACCCGTCAAACTGATAAATTTATAAAGACTCTTGATCATCTTTCGAAAATTCCTCACTGGATTGAACGACTTGAGCAGTTAGAAAAGGTTACATGTATTTTCAATGAAACACGTAATAAAGAGAAAGAAGATTGGTTATTGAAGTCAATTCGTCTTTTAAAAGATGAAGATTGTGCCGTGGAACTTGGGCAAATAAATAGTATTTTTGAGTTCTTAGATAGAAACCTTTCTAATGTTAACGAAACTTGTTGGAAATTTATAACAGAATTATCAATTGCTGATGATTTTATCGACTTCTTAAAGAATATTGCCGATCATGATATTACGAATTTGATTAATGGTGTAGATGATCACTCGGATGAAAAATTGATTCAAGAGGATACGGTAACGTCGCTTATTCAAGTCAAGCAATTTTTAATTCCCCTTATGGAGAAAAAAATGGAATCTGTTGCCGATGTCTTGCATATGCTATTAGATGTTATTAAGAACAACCCCAATATAGGTGATAAGATCTCGTTATGTAGTAATAGCAATATGGCATTACAAAACATGTACAATAGCATTTCGAACCGGGGAGAAGTTACTAAAGAAAAAATTAAGAATGCCGTAAAAAACGGAATTTATATTTTTAAACGCGATGAGAAGGAGGGAGATAAATGTCAAGTATTATTAACATATACCGCTAAAGATGAGATGAAGTATAATTTAAATGAAATTTTTGATTTACGTGGACGAGCTCTTTTAATTGCCAAACCAAAAACCACGGTTAGGATAAATGATGATGGTGTAATAAATGATAAAGATGAGGAAATGTCCAACATTATAGAAGATTTTATTGCACAAGTTGATATCTCCCAAGAAATATTTAATGTAGGATCAGTGTTAATCCAAATGGGACATTTTAGTTATCGAAGATTCGAACAAAAATTGCATGGAACAGAAAGTATGAAAAATTACTTAAATAGTTTAAAAAATCAACTTAGCGAATGGTAAATACATTCAATTTAGCATGCCTTTTATTTTCTTTATTAACAACGAATTTCTGATGAGCTTAATTATTCATCAATTTATAGGAAAAAAATAGTAGATGAAGCACAGGAGAGATGTTACTACTTAACATTCTTCCCTTCTCGTCACATTTTAGCATTCTACGACTATTTCACTTCAGAAAAGTTAGATAAGGAAAATGAAGAAGAATGCAAAATATTGATTAGATTTGTAAATAGCAAAGCCCAGTTACCACCTCGAGAGAGTGTCCAAAAGATATCACATGAATCTAATGATTATCCTGAAATTCTTTGTAAAATTGGTGATGAATTAGAAGGAATTTTTAGAAATGTTCCAAAACAATCTCGTAAGCTTAAAGCTCTTGGACAACACGTAAAGTCGGATATCGTTACGAAGGGTAAATTATTCGTTGCGGCTTGCAACAACACAACATTAGTTTCAAATATCATCATGTCGTTATTTGCTAATCATGGATCTTACCCAGAACCATGGCAACTTTTAATATGCACTTCGTCAACTACGATTGAAGAGCTCACGATTTT